CCCCCCCAAAAGAAGTACTGTGTGTTATATTTTACAAATACTGGTTTTCTGGAAGATTGTGCAGATTATCAAAAGTGTGTATTTATAAATGAGTTAATGCCAGCTAGATTTAAAATCAGGTCATACGTTAAGGCTGTGAGCAAATATTGTTTATAATATTGCACTTTCAGGTTTTTACCTACAAAATATAATGTAAAAGAGAGATAATACTCTTACAAATGACTTAGTATTTCCTCCAAACAAACATATATATAAATGCATTTTTCTACTTTGGAGGATGACTAAAATAATTTGAACAATAGGACAAGGTTCAAAAATTAGTGCTTGCTTACGTAACGAGGAGTATTTTCCCAGGCATTTTGAATACATCGTTCTGTAGGAAAGCTTCCTGTCGTTAATTTTATATGTGTGATTTAAGTTACCCCTGCCATTTTTTTATTTCTGTTGAATAATCAATTGTAGACCCCTGTTAAACCAAACAAATCAATGTTTAACTAATTCCTAGAAAACCATTTTTTATCCAGAGAGACACAATTGACTTCCTAATCATATTCCATTTCTTTCTTTCTTTTGGTATTTTGCAAGGTTTTCAGTAGAACTTAAAAACTGCGGGTGAAGTCCTGGCGGTGGTGAAATCATTACAAGTTTAAGTAGTAATTTCAGTTGGGTAAAAACTTCATCCTTTGTCTTTTTCTTAAGTCATGAACCAAGCAGTGAATGTGTTTTCTCACTTACAGTCCTTGCTCTAGTTCTGCCATATGTGCCTGCCTTGCACGTGTAGTAGTAAAATCTGTTTTCCATGTAAAACCTGTGTCACTAAGTTTATTTATATGACTGGCAGGCGTGTGGAATTTAAAACACTTACTAAACAATCTGTAATGTACTACAGATCTCATGCAATTAGGCATTCCCGTGTCTGCCAATTGTAGGAAATCTAACAATCCATTTTGCCAGATTTTTCTCTGCTTTTAAGCTGAAATAGTTTGTGCTTCAACTTAAGGCTTGGCTAAATGCAATTGAAACAAATAATTTGATATTCATTATTTTAAGGTATTACACTGTTTTAAGTTGAAAGGGCTTCTGGGTTTAATTTCCCAGTAAAGAGGAAATCGTGGCCTCTGCTTAAAGGAAAAGTAATAGCAAGAAAAAAAATGCAGATTTTTTTCTGCATTGCAACCTATTGAGGTAATCAAGAAATTATTCATGTATCAAGCAAGGGAACTAGTAGAAGTCAAAGACTTTTATACTATTTTAGAGAAATAAAGATCCTTTTGGATTAATATTGACCAAAAATTTTGTAACAAGGCAACGTCTGCTGTACCAGAGGGTGTTGTAGTACAGCTGTGACAGATAGATCACATTCCATGATAATAAAAAGATGCTCCTTTTATGAGTCCATAAAAAACAAAGCTAGCATAGCATATTGAAACTCTTCTATGGTAAATCCTCTAGCAAAGGGACCTTTGGTTTTCTACCTATACTTCTTTATTTAAAGCAATTAATTTATTTCAAATTTGAGAACCTGTTTCTGTGTAGCTTTAATTCTGATTATTTTTTTTTACTTTTTTAATTTAAACTTCAGCCCTGAGGTTTAACTTTGAATTACCTTGTGTGCATTTGTTGGGGTTTATTGTGATTTGGTTTTGGGTTTTTTTTATGGCCTTGGAATTGTATTGTTTCTGAGTTGGAAAGGATAATTCTGAACATGCTCAATGATAGTCAGTTTTGAGGTACTTTGTAGAATTTATTTAAAACTCTTTTGCACACAGCTGGGTAGAAGAGATTACTCTGAAGTAAAAGTGACTTCATGTGCTGAAACTAATGTAAAGTCTTTAAGATGCTATGGGCACTCAGCGTTTTTAGAGATGTATTCGCAGGTATAGGATGCTGTCAGGTTTATTTACGTATAAATTATTACCAGAGTATGATTGAATATTACCAAAGTCTTACACAGATCAATAAACTTCAAAGCAAGTGCTCAGGGACTTTACATGGTTGAATGTCTGATATTAAGCACTCAGAATAATTATTAAATTACCTTTTGTTCATTTAAATAATAGACATTCTTAACAAACACACAAACACAAAACCAAATCACTCTCTAGGTTCATCCATAAAAAGTTTAGTGTGTAATCATGGAAAAAAAGTGTCCTAAGATTTTGTGCTGGTTTTGGCTGGGATAGAGTTAATTTTTTTCCTAGTAGCTAGTATGGGCAGTGTTTTGGATTTGTGCTGGAAACAGTGTTGATAACACATGGATGTTTTTGTTATTGTTGAGCAGTGCTTACACAAAGCCAAGGCCTTTTCTGCTTCTCACACCATCCCAGCAGTGGGTCAGCTCAGGGGAAATGAAATTGGGAGGGGATTACAACTGGGACAGCTGACCCAAGGGATATTCCAGACCATATAACTTCATACTCAGCATGTAAATCTGGGGGAAGAAGAAGGAAGAGGGGTAATGTTTGGAGTTACAGTGTTTGTCTTCCCAAGTCACTGTTATGCATGATGGAGCCCGGTTTTCCTGGAGGTGGCTGCACACTTGCCTTACCCATGGGAGGTGGTGAATGAACTCCTTGTTTTACTTTGCTTGCATGCATGGCTTTTGCTTTACCTATTAAACTGTCTCTATTTCAATCTCTGAGTTTTATTTTACCCTTCTGATTTCCTCTCTTTCGTCCCATGGAGAGGAGTGAGAGAGCAGCTGTGATGCTTAGTTGCCATCTGGGGTTAAGCCCCACCGGGGATCTGTGCTATGCAGTAAAGTAGTTGCAGAGGGGAGAATAACACAATGACCAGCAGGTATAATTAGGAAATCCATTGGCATGAATTAGAGCTACCATCTTCTTTGAGGTGCTTCTTATTTGGCAGCACTGTGTTTAGAGAAAGACAGCTTCATGGCTTATTAGAAACTGTTCCAAAAACAAGTGTAGCCTTTTGAATCTAGTGGATGTAGTGGGGGAAGCCTTTGCTTTCTGTTGCAGCTGAGCTGCTGTAACAAAACTTGAATATCTCATGCTGTTTTGCAGTAGCAGGATAGATGAGCGAAACAGCTGTCGAAAGAGAACTGTGAACACCATTAAGATGATAGGATAACTTAGTTTGGAAGGGACCTTCTGAAGTCATCTCACCCAATGTCTTGCTCAGAGCAGGTTTGATAAAATCAGATTGCTTGGAGGTTTGTTACAACCTAGAATGCAGCTCTGGGGCAGCATAGGCTTCTAGGTCACTGCAGTCTTTCCAAAGCTGTGTGAAACTTGGAGGTTTTTTCCCCCCCTGCTTGTAATTAGTGCTAGTGTGCATGCAACATTCACGTAGTTTGTGGGCTGAAAACATCTCCTCTCTTTTGCTAATTTTTTTGTGAAAGAGGAGTCTGGTTTTACCTGTATTGGTTTCTATTTTGTGCGCCACTTGATCTATGAATATGAGGAGGAATGATGGGGATGAGTGAAGAGGAAGAATACAGGCAAGGCAGTGGCATCCACAGAACCTCATACCAAATTTTTTCTTAGTACCTTGGTGGAGTGCAGTCCCAGTGACATTTGTGGAGGCAGAACTGGCTGCCAGACTTTCCCAAACAAAGTTATTGTTCACTTGACTTCAGTATAATCTGTGTTCTTTCAAATACAGCAAGTAGACTTTCAAGAAGATCTAAATACAAGATAAATTAGAAAGCAGTGTAATTAGTTCGAAAAGGAATAGAAAGGTCTTTCAGCTCACAGTAATTCTTCAAGACTTTGAAAGTTGTTTAGTATCTTGCTTTTAGAAAAAACTATACAACTTCTAAGATAAATCAGCTCTCCAAACTACAGTTCAGAAAGTAGAAGTACTGTTTAAAGGTTTTCTATTATGTGTCTAAGCATGGGTATACATTTTGTGACTCATACAATACTGTCCAATAGATGTATGTTTACTCTTGACTCGTCTTGCTCTGTAAGAGGTGAGTTTGGTTTGTTCCACCAGTGACCTTGAGCATGTAAGTTTAATCTTAGAACAGGCTAAGCTTTTTAAGATATAGGTAGTTCTTTTGCCTGGAGGAGTGGTGTATTCTGTCAGTTTGGAATGCTTAACCTTTTATCCTTCTGGCAAGGGTCTCCCTTTTTGAGAAAGTCTTGGGACTTTATTTGGTGAGAGCCTGAGTATATGGTTTACATAAATAACCCAGACTTAAGATGTTCTTTGTCATGGTTTACATCTTGAATTCTGCTGTCAGACATTATGCGTTATGGTAAACAAAAAGCAACAATTTGAAGAGAAAACTGCTTTTTTTTTTTTTTTTTTTTTTTTTTTTTTTTTTTTTTTTTTTTTTTTTTTTTTTTTTTTTTTTTTTTTTTTTTTTTTTTTTTTAAGTTAGCTTCCAGCTTTGCATTGTGTCAAGAAATGGAGAAGAGTAACCAGTCTGCATCATGACTGGTGCCACTAGTAATTTGATATGAAGGTGTGCATTACTTGCCTGTAATAACATCTTGTTGTCCTCTGATCTCCCTTTTGTGACTTCAGCAGTGGAGACTGTGAATTAGATAAGAAATTAAAAATGGGAATGTCCTGTTACACTGCTCTAGTCTCAAAGACTCATTTGTAGCCCCAACAGGTCATTGTAGGTCTAAAACACCCTGAAGTGAATACACTTCGACAATGTGTCTTTGGTAGAAACGCAGTAAGTCCTGGTAAATTTATGTGTCTTTCAGGGTAAGGATCTTGAGATGCTTGAATTTTCTTCTGTTAAAAGTTGCTATTTTTAAGATAAACATATATATGTGTGTACATATCTTGAAGTATATGAGTGAGGAATATAAAGGGAAGGACCTGGATATTGTTTGAATATATTGTTTGGGTGGAAAACTCTGATGCTTTACAGTCCTTCTTTTAAAATGGCTGTAGTTGAAATACAGGAAAATCTCTCCTGAAAAATTTGGGGGTTGTTTGTTTGTTGGCTTGCTTTCAGATTGACAAAAAGTAGTTGCAAACCTCCTTAAATTGTGAAAATGTCATCTTCTTTTCAGGTGAAAGTTATGTATGTGCATCCAATGAACCATATCGCAAAGTTGATTACACCAAGAATGTCAATCCGAACTGGTGTGTGAACATAAGGACTGGGTCCAGTCGATCCTTGCCGTCTTTGACATCCACAAAGAGTGAAGTGAAGGAGAGTAAAGATTTCATTAAACCCAAATTAGTGACTGTTATTAGGAGTGGAGTAAAACCACGTAAAGCTGTGAGAATTCTGCTGAATAAGAAGACTGCTCACTCCTTTGAACAGGTCTTGAATGACATCACCGAAGCCATTAAGTTAGACTCTGGTGTAGTCAAGAGACTTTGTACACTGGATGGAAAGCAGGTAGGAGAATAAACTGCTATGACCATCTCATAGCTGTGAGTTAATCTAAGCTGCTTTGTTTTCATAACTTGAATTCTTCTTACTGTATATGCTTTAACCTGCTTCTGAATAAGGACAGTTATAAAACATCAACTTTCAAAAATTGTTTTGAAATATTAATATGTACAACAAAATTAGAATTGTTTATAATGCAATATAAGTTGATCTTTACATTCTAAGTAAAAATAAATATATTTTTATGCTAACCCTGTTGCATCGCTAAAAAAAGTGCCTTTTGCTTTAGTAATACAATTTATTTGAAACATTTGATAGGAAACTTGCTAAAATACCTGTGTGTTCTCAGAAGCAGAATCCTCTTTTCAGGCTACTAGGTAGTGCTGACTAGTAGAAGAAAAATATTGATGCTTCCTTCCCTTTCACTTCCATAGATTGCTACTCAAGTAGCAGTATGATGATCTAAACATGATCTAAAGTCAAGAATTTAATCTGAAATGAATAATTCTGGGAGGGTGGTCAAATCTCTGCATCTTTCCTTTTTGCATTTAGTTTTACCACTGCAAAAACATGCTGCCAGGATTAATGATGCAGTAGGTCAGTATTCTCCTGCAGAAATACAGAGTGTCCCACAGAATGTTGTGCTGCACCACTTTAAAGTGTCAGGGATACATTTGCTGTTGGTCAGTCAGGTTAACGACTCAGCCCTTTGTGGAACAGGACTTTGATATTCGACACTTTTATTTAACACTGATGTGGAACTCTGACAGCATTGTGATTTTAGTAATAGAGCAACACAGGAGGCTGCAAAGTAGATCACATTTGTTACTGGGTAACTGAATTATTATAAAGTTATTTCTGTACACTTGAATGCCTATATATTTGCATGAACTATTTGTGAAAGTTTCAGTTGTGTTCAGAAATGCAGGAATTTTTATTGTCAAGGCTTTTATAATGCTTGTAATCCCACAGACTGCTTAAAAAGCACCTTTTTGCGGTACAGGCTGCTAGGAAATGTTTTGCAGAACAAGTGCACTTAGATGGCCTCAATATGAGGTCTGTCTCTGGTTATGTTCTGTGTGCTTGGATACACTTCTTATAATTAAATACATGAAAAGAGTAACTTCTGGATTTTAGTATTAAATGTAGCAAGGCAAATGCATCACTGAGGCTGTTGACTTCAGTATTTGGAGGCAGCACTATAATAATATACTCTTTAGTTCTTCTAATAGGTTTGATTTTAAATGAGGTTAACACTACTTCATAAGACAGAATCCTTCCTAGGAACATCTGAAACGTTTTTCAGTCATGTTTAATTTAATTCATAATAAAATGGTTTTGAGGATATTTATTATGCAGTAGTTAATCTCTTCTGGACGTGAAGTCCTCTGTTACTGTCTTGGATGAGATGCTTTTAATCTTCTCAGACGAGTCAGGAAAGGAGACTCAGTTCACATTCACCTCTTCTTTTGCATTGTTAATGCAGTAGAAATTAACTGGTCTGCATTGATGTCGAAGATGCAGTGTAGTGCATCAGAGAACAATAAAGGTAATTAACATTAAATCTCGCACACACTGCTTGCGTGTTACCATCACTCATGGTGGATAATGGCTGTCTTCAGTCCATGGTGAGGATGACCAATCACTGGTAATGCTCCAAAATAAAATTCCTTATTGCTGCAGTACCTCCTCCTGCCTTTCTGTGGTAAAGGCAATGATCCAACTTGGACTGCAGATGTAGAAGTGTTCTCAAGCAGGATTGAGAAATCCCTAATTCTCACTGGGAACAGCCTGCAGATAGCTGTTCCTTACAGCTGACTCTCTGTGCAAACATTTTCAGTAGTAGTAGTAGTGAATAAATGTGAAGACTTCCCTTCCATTTGGAAGAAGGGCCTTTTGCTTTTACTGTAGACTTTGGGAAGTAGCCTTTGCTTGTACAACTGTAGTGAAATCATGTTTTAAGTGGTCATGAGATGTACTGCCCCAGAGAGACCTATGGCTTTAAATACCCTTACAAAAAGCCTTCTAGTCCATATCTAGGAAGATGGAGAGTTCTGGGTTTTTTTGTTTGTTTGTTTCTTTTTCCCTAAAGTGAAGGGCTGACCCCAGTTTGAGGCAATAGTTTTTTTTTTTTAATTTGTTTGTTCATTGCTGGTATATGAAGAGGTTGGTGCCCAAGGGCTTTTTGGGGTTTGGCATGTAAATAGTTGCTTTGCTGCCAATTACCAATTGGTGGAAATTTCTGAGCCTATTTTCTCTAATGTAGTAATTGCTTATTCTTCTAAATGTGCTAGGGAGGCAGATCTTTTATGTTTGTTGTAGTGTTGGCACAGCTTGAAAGGCAACCATTAAAAAAAAGGCATTTTGTAAATGGCTGTGTTCCTGTAAATGTAGCTCTTGTGTTCTCTTGGGTTTGACTTTTTTCTTTTCCCTGCTCCTTCACGTTTTTATCTCTGTGGAAATACCTTTTTTTTTTTTTTTTTTTTTTTTTTTTTTTTTTTTTTTTTTTTTTTTTTTTTTTTTTTTTTTTTTTTTGGTAGAGAATAAGTTTAGGTTGTATTTTCTGTTTAATACAAAATTGGTGCTGAAATCCAGGTGTTTAAAATATGCACGTATAAAATTCATGTCCTTTTATTAGAGAATGTGTTGTTCTGTTAACTTATGGGGTGATTTTGTATTCCAATAGAAGTATTTAACATGTGTAGTAAGAAATGATAATGAAATCAGTGAATCTGTGAAGAGGTCTTTCTAAGCAGTACAACAGAAAGGATATCCTCAAAATAGTTTTTATTTGCCCTTCTGAATTCATTAATCTTGACTGTAGCAACATCTTGATGATAATAGTGATACAGAGAATAACATCCAAGTTGGATGTTTTCCTTGGTTATTGTGTGTGGAGACAGACAATTATCTAGCTTTTAATTGTAAGATTTTATAATATTTACAAGGTTTCCTTTTATCTTCAGTTTCAACATGCTGTAACTTATTAGTTACATAGTGCTTTGTAGCCTCAAGTACAGATTTATTTTTTAACTGTGTTGATGCAAGGCTGACTTTTAACTTTCAAGCTGTTGAGGAACCAACTTTTTTTATCTCTCAAGACTTTTTATGGTTTCTATGTAAGGAAAAATACTTCTAATAAAGTAAGTAGGCTTTAAGCTTGCAGTGCAGGCTTCTGCTATTCCAGTCTTTGTGCTTTTGACATTGAGGTTTGCCTAATATATTTGCTTGACCGAAGTGTTTTCCTTACTTGGCTGAGTTTTTCCTGGAATCTGTCGCTATCCTACTGTGAAGCAAGGACAGTCAGACTGAACCTTCTCCAGTTGGGAAGTTAACCCTTTTCTAACCCTGAAGAGAATGGAGGGCTTCTTTCTTGCTAAACAAGCATCAATCTTCAGTCATTGCAAAGTGTAGGGTAGCAACTTAGTGGTAAACTACCTGCACTAGTCGTTTAAAAGCGTTAATTGTATTGGGGGAGGGATAGGGGAATTTCCTGTGAGAAGGTCACAAAAAACCATGCAGAACTCTGAAGCATGTGTTATTTGACACACAATAGAAAATTCAATTTTCACACTTTTTAGGCTTGCAGTGTGTTGCAGTTTGAAGGCTTAATATCCATAACAGAATTGAAAAGGTGGATGAGCCACCTTTTCTGTTCTCCATTCCCAAAACAGTGAGAATGCACTACATATTATCATTAGTTTGAAGGACTTTTTGATAGGCCATAGGTGTGGTGATGGTTATCTCTGAAATGAAAAGCTCCCCAGTTTTCTGTTAATGAAGTTTTTTTATAAAGTGCTAATTAAAAGTAATTTGGTAACTGAAGAAAATAGATATTACGTGTGGATGCATTTATCAGATTCATCGTGCTCTCCTCCCAGTAATTTTTTTATTTTTCACTGGGAGATTTGAAAATTCTTAGTAGAGAGGATAGCTTCTGTACACTGAATTTTGTATTTGCTTTGCAGTGAATGTGCTCATCATAGAGAGCAGAAAGCAAAACAAGAATGAGCAGGAGAGATTTCATTTTTTAGTATAACATATTCTTGATTCAGTTATTTGGCACATAGCCTTCAGTCATTCAAATCTGTAAATTTCCATTAAATTCCAGTATTTTTGCTGCAGTCTTATTCTCGGTGAGATCTGACTGTGTAGTACTGAGACAAGTTTTAGAACGTGTGAATTTTGGTTTTCTCAGTTTTGCAGTCTTTTATGTGAAGTCATATAGTATGAGATGATTTTTAAAAAATAATTTTATTACAGTTAACTAAGTGTCTTTAGCAAATATTTCCTTTTAGTTCAATTCTCTCCTACCTAAGGAGAAGGTTCCTTAAGAAACCAGGCTCTAGGAGTTAAATATACTTTTTTTTTTTTTTATAATCTTATATCATTTAATTGTCCTGTCACTGATATCTCATTGCAGGCTAAGAAACAACTGTAATAGAAATTTACCTCAGTGTTAGCAGGTATTATTTGTAGTTGAAAGCTGCTAAAACCAAAACAGTTTTTTTCTTGCATCTCAGGCTCTTACCTAGGCAGGCACTGTAGAAATGTCTTAGAAATTGCACAGATTTGAATTTCTGCTGTGGGCAATTTTGCAAGAATATAGAAATCTCCAGCTTCTTTTGCAGTTCTAGTTCTATTGAAATTTAACATACCATTTTAAGCTGAAATTTTGCATTAATCTGCATGTGTGAAGGGAAGAAATGTTTAAGCCCTTGCATATCTTGCAACTCTTGAAAGGCTTACGTATTGTTAAAGAGGAATGTCAGTGGCAGCTGCAAAGAGAGCGATTCTCTGCATTGCAGATCCCACAGAAAGCTGGCATTTTTGGGCAAGGAGTCTTTCCTTATTACTGCATGACAAATAGTAAAACATCTTGTGGAAATGAAACCAGAAGTTGTATTTAGATCGTCTTTAAAGAGAGAGACAAAGGGAAGGAAACGGTGGTGGCTACTTCCTTGTGTCTGAAGTAAGCTTTTGGATGCTGTCTTTTCTCATCAGTC